ACTGTCATCACACAAGCCCTCACTCAGCTGGGACATACAACTGGGAGGGCACAGTTCTCCCAGCCGAGGACAACCAGGAAGGAGACATAAGAAAGAGGTGACTCAAAGTCAGAGACTGAGAGGCACCTCCCCACGGGGCAGGGGACAGACATGGTGACCCCTAGGACTCTGACGGCCACTAGTTTTCCTAATTTTCTCCCACTCACACACAGTCCCCAATGATGGAAAAAACCAAACCCCAACCCAGCTTATGGAAGCGATGAATATTTTTCATGCAAATTACAACTCCACCATAAAAAAATGGGAAAAAGAACTGTGAATTTTTCTTAAACAAATGGATAAAGTAAAATGGGATATAAAACAGTGAGCTGAGTGAAAGAAAGAAAAAGTTTCTTTTGTGTACACAAGACAAAAGCTCTGGCAAGAGGGTGAAAAGAAGATTGCAGGGCTGGGTATGGTGGCTCACGCCTGTCATCTCAGCACTTTGGGAGGCTTAGGTGGGAAGATTACTTGAGTCCAAGAGGATGAGACCAGCCTGGGCAACATAGTGAGACCTCATCTCTACAAAAAAACTAGCCAGTGTGAAATAGCACAAGCCAGTAGTCCAGCTACTCATAAGGCTGAGGCAGAAGGATCACCTGAGCCCAGAAGGTGGAGGCTGTGGTGAGCTGTGAGCATGCCTGCCACAGCATTACAGCCAGGGTGACAGAGTGAGAACCTGGCTAAAAAAAAAAAAACCACACCTTGGGAGGTAGAGACAAGAGGACTGCCTAAGCCCAAGGGTTGGAAACCAGCCTGGGAAACTTGGCAAGATCTTGTCTCTACAATAAATAAAACGAATATTAGCTGGGTGTGATGGTGCGTGCCCATGGTTCCAACTACTTGGAAGGCTGAGGTGGAAGGATCACCTGAGCCCAGCAGGTTGAGGCTGCGATGGCTGGGAACTTGCTACTGTACTACAGCCTGGGGTGACGGAGACTCCGACTCAAAAAAAAAAAGAAAAGAAAAGAAGGCCAGAGGCTCAAGCCTGTAATCCAAGTACTTTGGTAGGTGAAGGTGAAAGAATTGCTTAAGTTCAAGGGTTCGAGACCACCCTGAGCAACATGGTGAGATCTCATCTCTACAATTAAAAAATAAAAAAATAGCCGGGCATGGTGGCACATGCCTGTGGTTTCAGCAACTTGGAAGGCTGAGGCAGAAGAATCACCTGAGCCCAGCAGGTCGAGGCTGTGGTGGCCATAAGCGTGCCACTGCACTTCAGCCTGGTGACAGAGTGAGACTCTGACTCAAAAAAAAAAAAAGAAAAGAAAAGAAGGTGGCAGGAGAAGATGAGAGACACCAGGGAAACTGGAGGAGGAAGTAGTTGAAAGAGTCCCTTCCCCTGAAGTTTTCTGACATCCAAGTCTAGGATTTGAGAAAAACCACCTGTGCATTGCCATGTGGCATGCCACACTGTGCACGTGTTTTCATCCACAAAGTACAACTATGCTGTGCTATTTACACGTCAATACTTAATGTGTCCTGTAGGCGCTATCTGCTTATTTATCCCTTGGTTCTCTTCCTGGATTGCGGGCTTCAGGTAGGCAAGAACTATGTGTGTTTTGTCCTTGGAAAAAAGCCTGGCACTGACAGGCACTCAAGAAATATTTGTGACGTGAATGAATGAATGAATGATCAACAGTGGCTTACCCACTACCACCCTCCCACCCCACTGGAACTTCGAGTGACACTGTCTTTTACCTCCCATGGGAGACCTGAGGTACTTGTCTCCCCCTTCCCGGTGTGTGTTCCTGCAAACCACAGACAGGACGATCATCCCTTAACTGAAAGGCAGGGGACTAGAAGTGTTTTGAGCTTTAGATTTTTGTTTTGGATTTTGGAATGTTTGCATTTCTACTTATCTCTTTCCAAAAATCTGAAATCCGAAGGGCTCTGAGAAGCTCTTCTGAGTGTCACATCGGCACTCAAAAAGTTTCAGATTTTGGAGCATTTCAGATTTCTGATATTCGGATTAGGGATACTCTACCTGTGTGGGTAAGAGATAGGAAGGAGCCAGTGGTGTCCTTATTCTTTCCACAGAACTGGCTGTGCTACTTAGGACTTCTTGATAGAACGCATCTCCTCACTGAGGTTCAATAACTACGGCCAGATGCTGACAGCTCTCCACGTCGTGGGAAATCATGACGGTCCCTCCTCCCCCAGCTGTGCACGGCCCATTGAGTCCTTCTTGGAGCGGGGCAGGTCAGCCTGGTGATTTATACTTAGAGCTTTACCTGAAGCTCAGAGGAAGCTGGTGAATGGGCAACGAGGTGAGGGTGCCACTGCATCTCCGTGTTAGCTCTAATGCTACACAAGCCAGCTTGCTTGCTGAATCCCAATCACACACCCGCTCCACTGCCGAGTCCCAATCCCGTGAGCTGGTTTCGGTCTACACCACAGCCAGGGGTAGAGTCAGGACACAGTGCTCCTGCTGTAAGTTTCAGGCTAAGTCCAACAAAGGAAAAATGTGGACCGACTTAGTACATTGGATTAAGCCCATAAAAAATAAAATCCATGCAGAACTTACTCTAGAAAGAGAATAACATGCCTGTTATAGAGATCTCTAGCTCTACTACCATATATCAACATAATATTCTAAATTCCCTATCTGATTACTTGTAAAATTGACCCGTTTCTGGAATGAAAAAGCATGGACCAAGTGTCTCAGAGAGTAGACTCAATGAGTACAGTCATTTATAAAGCACTAGAAGTTTTCTAAAACCACATTTTAAAAATTCAAGTCTTTGCCAAGTAAATGACCAACAAAATTAGAGCCGCAGCTAAATTAGAGTGATTATATAACCCTCAAGTTACAGAAATCAGTGTTAAAAAAGGTACAGAATTAGATAAAAACGACTAAGCACAAAGAGCACGTGAATATATTTCTATTTGGTGTGTACATACCTCTGGAACTATAGTTTTGACTCTGAGCAAAAGTGACTTGTGTTTTTTTGTTTTTTTCCTGAATATAGTTTTGCACAGCACAATCATCAATAATTACACCTTGGCCCATCTGATCAGCGAAGGAAGGACTTTACCATGCAGGGTTGAGAGCTAACCAAAGAAGTGAACCTGCATCTTTCTGGAATTCGGGGATTCTGTGAATCTGTTTCATTGGTGACTCCAGTGGGGCTCGCACCCATCCCTCAGCTCGAATACTGTAAACTCTCCAGGGGAAGGGACAGATCCCTGTGGCGTCTTCCCTAAAAGCTCTGGTCTCAGGGCTCTAAACATAAAACTCAAGCAACTGGCTCACGGCTTCCCTGCAAATCTCTCATCGCCACGCCATGGTTATGCAGCCGCTGCTCTCAGTTCCCAACTTCCGATCCTTCTGGACCCCTCAATCTGTCTGCCCAGGCCTCACTCTGCACTATCTCCCTTCTACTTGCAGCCAAATCTGGCATCCATGTTTTGTCGGTTCAGCAGAAGAGCCGTTTCCACAATCTCCTGTTTTTTTATAAGACCCGTTTATTCCTCCCAATATAATAATTAGTTTCAGATGAACCTGGTAGCTAGTCCTTGGCTTGGTTCCACTGTGGTACTAGCAGGGAGAGCAGACACTTCCTGCTGTGCTGTTTCTTAGAGCAAAGAATCTGAGTACCATCCCAGACCCAGACCAGACCGTTTGCAGTTCACGTCTTTGAAATACAGCTGGGTTTCCTTGACCTAGATTCTGAAAGAGATGGGCTGGAATTATGATTACGGGCATCTTCTCAGTTTACTTTTACAAGGGGGACCCCCCCCCCCAAAAAACAGAATTACTTTTTTAGAGGGCGGGCCCCTTGTAGTCCAGATTTCCCTGCTAGGTAAGTATTCTAGGAACTCATTGGCATCAGTGTACCAGCTAGCACTGTTGAGAGAGGATGAATTTATTTTTATTTTTTTGGAAATTCTTTTAACGTGTTTGCCCGTTTCACAATGAGTGATTTATGAGCATACCTGCCCACACTGCGCTGAGTGTTCAACAGTTTTTGACCAAAAACAGCATGGCGCCCATGCCCTACCCTTCTTATTCGCTGGATCTCACCCCGAGTGACTTCTTTTTGTTTCTCTGGATGAAAAAAGTCCTCAAAAGAAAACGTTTTGCTGATATGACAGAGGTGAACCAAAAAACAGCAGAAGCATTAAAAGGCATCAAAATTCATGAGTTCAAAAACGATTTTGAGCAGTGGAAAAACCATCTCGATAGGTGTATTGCATCTAACAGAGAGTACCTTGAAGGTGATCAAAGTTTAAACAGGTAAGAATAAATGCACCGATTTTACAAATAAATTTCATCTTGGGGGTGTTCCCCTCTTGTAAATGGTTCAGATAAATTATTCCCCAATTTATCAAACTACAATAGATCATCAAGAACACAAATCATAAAAATAACAAGCGTTGTATCCCCGTAAACATACAGAGGTTGCAAACAGGAAGCCCATGGTGTTCTGGGTGCCTTACAACTTAATTCACTTTTAGGGGGTTAATACATACTGATAGGTAAGTAAATATACTGGCTTAGAAATAGGGATATCAGAGGAATCATTCTAGAAAACCTCTTTTCCCAATAACACAAAGAAATCAAGACAAGACATTATTTGTAATGAACAGAACAATGAAAAGGAGCTTCATGAGGTATAATCAAAACAGGCAGAGTCTCAGGAAGCTGTCACAGCACTCCTGTGGTCACCTACTCGCCCCCAGAATCGTCAGTCCCTGCACATCCTGACCCGTTAATTCAGCAACAGCAGTGAAACTGTGTGTATTTTCACCACCACAACCTTGCATCATCCTATTTGTAAATCCCTGCAGCCCCGAGCTATCCTTTCAGGTAAGAGTCACTTGATGCACACAGGATGTGAGGCCTTGAGTTAGGAGTACCTCCTAGTGTCGCCAAGTCTTTTCCTGGTTAAATAGAAAGCAATCACCTCTCTGCTTCATCACACGGTAACAACATGATTTCTCAAGGTTTATCTTACCTTCACATGTGCGGCCGTCTGTAGAGATAGAGAAACCCTGTTCGCAGACACAATGGAAAGACCCGTCTGTGTTTAGACATTCCCCATGAGGACCACAGAGCCCCGGCTGTTCACATTCGTTGATATCTGGAATTTAAAAGAGAGTTCAAAGTACTTGAAAAAAATCGGTTTTGTTTTCATATGATATCAGACAATCCGACATGCAGTAAAGAAAATCGATCATGAAATGGCTGGACATCCTTTTTGGGACACAACTATATCACCTGCCCTTAGAAAAGACCACAGGATAAGCTGAAATGTCAAGAGGGAGAAACTACATAGGTTGACTCACGAATTAGCCAATGTTCAATCATTTTTGACCTACAAAAAGGGCAATTTCTTAGGTTCAACCCAAAGCTCCCCTCTTTTTAGACATATTGAAGGCTTGAGGAGCATGCTAATAGAATAAACAACTCTGGGAAGTATTCTTCCTCGGTTCCCCAGCACCACGCGCTCAACTTTGTACAACCTGCAATGCCTTGCTACATTCCTGCCTATGCATCCCTAGGACCTGCGCTTCTTAAGGGCTGGGTTGGACAGGTCTTATTTATTGTCTTTCGCTCATACATGGCACTTCACAAATGTCTGCTGAATATATAAAAAGAAACAGACTCCAACCTACATCTTGCTGGAAATAGGTAATTTTATGAAATGCTGCATTTAATAAAAATAAAATACAGTCAGGCACGGTGGCTCACGCCTGTAATCCCAACACTTGGGAAGGCTGGGAGGATTGCTTGAGACCAGACGTTCAAGACCAGCCTAGGCAACATAGTGAGACCTTGTCTATTAAAAATAAATACATAAATAAATAAAATAAATTAGCCAGGTGTGGTTGTGCATGCCTGTAGTCCCAGTTACTCGGGAGACTAAGGTGGAAGGATCACCTGAGCCCAGGAAGTTGAGGCTGTCGTGAGCCATTATTATCGAGATTATGCCATTGCATTCCAGCCTGGGTGACAGGGTGCGACTCCAACTCAAAAAATAAAATGAAATAAAATACAAATGAAAGAAGGTCTTTTAGACCAGGGAAGTTCATATCTGTGAGGTTTTGTAATGACTAAATTAATGAGTAATTGTAAAGTGCTTAATGAGTTCATTGTTTTGTTTTGTTTTGTTTTTGAGTGTCCAGCAAGTTTTAACTTTATTTTTCTAAAGTGACATGGCCGGCCAGGCAAGGTGGTTCAAGCTTGTAATCCCAGCACTTTGAGAGGCCAAGGTGAGAGGATTGCCTGAGCCCAGGGATTTGAGACCAGCCTGGGCAACTTGGCAAGACCTCGTCACTACAATAAATAAAAAAAATTAGTTGGGTGTGGTAGTGCATGCCTGTAGTTCCGGCTACTTGGAAGGTTGAGGTGGAAGGATCACAGGAGCCCAACAGGGGTGGCCGTGAGCATCCCACTGCACTCCAGCCTGGGTGACAGAGTGAGACTGCAACTAAAAATAAATAAAATAAAGTGACATGGCCATCTGTTTATTCTTCTATTTCCCACTTCTCTTTCTATATTTATTTACTTATTTTTATTATCTTCATTGCTACATGGGCATGGTGTGTGCCAGTAGAGATCGGGTTTCCAGTGTCCCCACTCCCCAGATAGCAGACACTGTTCCCAGAAGGTAGTTTTTAAGCCCTTGCAACCCTTTCTGCCACCTCTGATTAATTCCATTTTTGTATCCATGAGTACCCACTGTCCATGAGTCCCCACATATAAGCGAGCACTCGTGGTGTTTGGTTTACTGTACTAAGTGGTAGCAACGGTCATGAAACTCATGTACAGGACATGCACTAGCTACACTTGTGTTGACTGCCTTATGCTCAGCTTGCACTCTGCATGAGGAATTGTGCACCCTTTGGCCAGGGTCACAAAGCTCTCCCAGACGCTGGTCACATGGAGTGTTGGATATAAGGAAAGTGTTCTTTCCAACCAGTATTGATGATCTGGGCTAACAGTGCCCAAGATGACCACATAAGCAACCTGCAGAATGACTTTCCTATCCACAGTGGTACTGACACATGCAAGTACCCACTTGTTGGCTAACTCATCTGTGCCCTCACTACCAGGTCACTTCTTGAGGAGAACCATGCCTTTAAACTCTTGAGTTCCTAACTCCTCATTCTGTGCACGGATAGTGTCTTATGTATGTCTGTCAACCATGAAATTGTGCAGTTTTGTTCATTCTCTACTAACTGATTAGTGATGGGTTAAGGTTCTCTTAGCTAAGTGGGGTCATTAAAATGCTCACAGGCAGCAGCTCCACTCAGGTCATTTTCTGTTTTCCTGAAGTCTCCCACTCACTTCCCCTCCCCCCACCCCATCGCTATCACACACGATGACTGCAAAGTATAACAGACACAGGAAACAGGCACATGAGCTTCTTCTTGTGACTTCTAGAAGATACTTAGCCACCGGCCCTGGGGTCCTCAATAAAGTCACCCCTTTCCCTGCAGCCAGGATCTCCTGGGGCTCTTTTCTTTGACCTGTTAAACTTACTGTGCAACAGAAATTCTGGTACGTATTGGTGTATCCATCTTGACTAATCCTGAACGCTTCACCTCTACTAACTGCCACATAATTCAGACTGTTTGGCTGATCTACTGATAGGCCAAATCAACGGAATTGTGATTCCACTGAATCAAAATAAGAAACCAAGCAGGAATTACTCATGCCATTCTTTTTAGCATTACTATATTTTTTTTAGATATTTCAAGGGAGATCAATGAATCACTTTCTACTTGTTTCTCAATAGGAGTTTGCGCTGTGAAATTCTTCACTTCTTTTCTAAAATCTCCGATATCACCTATGCTTGTTCTTTTTCTTCCTGCTCTTAGTCTTCAGATGCATTCTCTGTTTCCAACCTCCTGCCCAGAGTTACTTCCATCTGGGCAAGATGGTGCCATGAAGTTCCACGACTTGAGGATAAATCCAAGACCCACATCTCTCTTTGTCAAGCCCTAGCAACTACTTGAGACCTCCTTATTTTATCCTCTGTCTCAGTGTGGTCTTTTCAAAGCTACCTGCTTTGCAACTTTGTAGAGGGAATCATGTACACAAAGTTCTTGCATCAAAAGAAGTCACTGATTAACAAATAACTGTCTTAAAAGTTTGATGACAGGAACTGAAGATGAATTTCTAGACTTTTTTTCCAGGAAACTGCTAAGAAAGAACAACATGAATCTTTGGAGCTAGAGGAACATATGCATCCAATTTGGATTGTACTTATTGAAGCATTTCTAAACTATGCTGCTAGCAACTCAGAGCCGAGAGCCAGACTCTATTTAAGTTGGGTTTCTTTCATGGGTCCGAGATTCCACAGAAATTCACAATTTGGCATGTGTAAGTCAAAACATGAAACTGAACTGTGTTCTGAATCTCAAATGTACCCTGCCACATTTCTAAAGAAATGATTAACATGGAGTTTCCATACTGTCTGTGTAACATCGTCAGTTGTGTGGGGGAAAGAAAATCTTAAACACGCTTCCAGTTGAAAGTGCCTTACTGAATATGGAGGCATCTTCAGAATACGAAGTTAGGCTTAAGGTGTATGCCTATCACACATTGCTATTCAAGCACATCCATGGGTATTAGCATGGCCATCGATTACACCTTTAGAATTTAGACAAATCCTGAAATCTACACCTATCTACAAAATACTGACATGATCAGGGGATTTGAGAAAAGTAGGTTACAGACTTCAGGCAGAGTGGAAGATTGCAAAGCTGTCCCCAGCAACAGAGCAACAAGAGATCATTCAGAACAAGATGAATATAGAAACTGTCACACAACAGGGGCCAGCGACTGGCGAAAGAGATTCACAGACAGTATCCTTTCAACACTGCTAAGACCCGCATCAGAAATGCTTTCCATTTATTTGGATCTACGTGTTCACACAGAATCTTTTATCCTGAAAAACAGGAATAAATGTGACAGAGAAGGAAGTCGATGGAATAATGGTTGATTGTCAATCAAACCCTGTATGTATGGAGTAGTTACATATTTGAGAGCTGATATCAAACCACAGCCACAAATTTAACAGACAGAGAGGATATTAGAGTGCAATTAATGAATCAGACGACTAAATTAGTTCCGTGTGATTGAACTCTTGGAGTTAAATTATAAAATCTGCAATATGGAATCTTGGTCCATTTATACTAACACTTGGTTTTGCCTCTATTTGGCGAAAATAAGTTGTGACAAGAGAAGAATTAGAAAAGAAAATATGCTTTTAAGCCAAAAAGCAAAACAGAATTCAGATTTGGCATTTTTTTCTGTCCTTTTTTTTTTTGTATAAATCAAGATTCATTTTGTTAAAATGCAAGAGTTCCAAAGTGGAAATACTCTCACATATATTTATAATTCAAGTGTTCCTTCTCTTCTGCATTCAACTCAAGCTTATTTAATTTCTGCGTTAGAAAAATTGAAATTCACCTTATGGCATTGTGATGGCAAATAAATACATGATATCAAAAGGGAACAGGATAGTACATTTAAATCTTAAGATCAGTAAAGGAATGAATTTGTAAAAACCTTGGGGCAAAGGCCCACGTCTTTCATATCTCCATAACATAAAGTGGTTATGGACATTGATACAGACATAACACATGAGGTTATCCCAGTGCCGTATCTTAGAGAGCATCTTCTCCTTCAAGAATACTGTCATTTGGGATTAAAAGTCATATATGGAGCAGTTTATTCCCATCCAGCCGGCTGCTCCTGGGCCACCTTCCCGGAAGTTCCCGAATAAAGCCCGTGTCTTTTCTGTGGTCTCTGGGACATTTCTCCAGCCTCTCAGACAAAATGTCTTCTTCTCTTTTGGGGTCTTTGAGGGTCCAGCACGAAATGTGTTGAATGGTGTCTCCCCCAGAATTCATGTCAATCCAGAACCTCAAAATGTGACCTTGTTTAGAAGTAATGTCTTAGGCTGGGCACAGTGGCTCATGCCTAGAAACCCAGCACTTTGGGAGGTCGAGGTGAGAGGATTGTCTGAGCCCACGGGTTCAAGACCAGCCCAGGCAACTTGGCAAGACCTTGACTCTACAATAAATCAAAAAGTTAGGCTGGCCTGTTGGTGTGTGCCTGTAATGCTTCCGCTGAGGTGAAAGGATCGCCTGAGCCCAGCAGGTCGAGGTGGCTGTGAGTGTGCCACTGCACTCAGCCTAGGAGACAGACTGAGACTCAAAAATATAAAAAAATTATCCAAGTATCAGAAATAAATAGAAGGAAAGGTAAATACATATACATGTTTTCAATGGAAGACATAGGCATGGCTTTAAGAAGACTAAAAAATACGTAAAAATGTGTAGGGCAGTCAGGTTTGGCTAAAGATGTTAGCATACAGAATCTAGACAATTTAATTGCTTTCTTTTTTTAAGTTGGAGTCTCACTCTGTCGCCCAGGATGGAGTGCCATGGCATGCTCACGGCCACCCAAGCGTCAACCTGCTGGGCTCCGGTGATCCTTCCACCTCAGCCTTTCAAGTAGCCAGAACCACAGGCGCACACTACCATGCCCAGCTAATTTTTGATGTATTGTAAAGATGAGGTCTCACCAAGTTGCCTGGGCTGGTCTCGAACCCACAGGCTCAGGCAATCTACTCGTCTTGACCTCCCAAACTACTGGGATTACAGGCTGAGCCACCGAGTGTCTAGCCATGATGTTGAAATGACTCAATGTGCCACCCTGTAAGAAAAATCACTTAATTTCACTTGTCTTCTTTCTTTTGACTATAAATGTAACAGCAATTGGTAGGGTGATGTAGCAAGCATTGTAGGAAAAGCCCATAAATTCAAATCTCACCTCTCCCACTCATTAGAGAGGAATATATAGGACATTCTCTGAGATTCAGTTCCTCGTGCACAAAATGAAAGAAAGAAAAGCTACCTCTTTTTTTTTTTGAGTTGGAATCTCACTCTGTCGCCCAGACTGGAGTGCGGTGGCTGCTCCCGGCCACCGCAGCCTCGACCTGCTGGGCTCCAGCGATCCTTCCGCCTCAGTCTTCCAAGTAGCTACCTCTTAAGCTGCTGTTAGAATTAGGAGAGATAGCCACAGCATTTGGCACACAGGAGAAACACAAAGCTGTCGTTGTGACTGTTCATATAAAATCTGTGTTGTATTGTTGTGTTCTTATTAGTGCTCTGTGTCCGCTGTATTGTTTGGGCGACAAAATGTGACTTTGAAAAATTGTAAACTTTCCCATTCTTCATAATCTTGACCAAGTGAAGCTTTTTAGGACGAACAAAGCAACGGTGGGTATTGATAAAAACAGGGATCAGGAAAAGGACACAGATCACCTATGGGATAAAGTAAAATATGCCCGTAAAGGATATAAAGAAGCTGGGAAGATCATCTAAACTCCAGGACCAAGACTGGTATGTGAAAAGGATGATCAAAGTCAGGCGATCTCAGCACAGCACCACGCAAAGTGAGGACACGCTCTGACTCGTGTGGGTTTCAGGTGACACCGGCTGGACAAGGCAACACCTGGTGCAGACCCAAGAAAGATGCTCTAACGCTAGATTATTCATATTTCAAGCAAGTGGCAAAACCACAGACTATGATAAGGAAGCAAGGCAGAACTGAAGAACCACGTAAACCATGACAAGAAGGAAGAGGGCGTGAAGTACCTTGACATCCCCTATTGTCATTTAGCTGGAATCCATCCGGACATGTGCAGTCATATGATCCTTCAGTGTTAATGCAGTCTCCTCTTTGGCAGACATTCCGGTCCTCCAAGCACTCGTTGATATCTACAAATGCAATTCAGAATTTGAAAAGACTAAACAAACGATACAACAGAAAGTTAGGTATTTTTTTCTTTAAATGTGCATTATTTTACATCATTTGCAATGCAAAATTCTTATGACAGATTTTTAACTTTTAGAGTTTTAAAAAAAATAAGCATTTTGATAGGATTTTAGCTTTGAACAATAAACAGCAGTTTTAAGCATCAGAAGAAAGAGAAGTGAAAATATTAGAACTCTGTAACAAACAATAACTTCCTTATGTTCTTGGTGATGATAGAGACGAAAAGATATTTTCAAAAATACATACTGTGAAGCAGATCTTGAGCATACCTAACATACTTGATCTCTTCATACAAGATCCTGTATTATGCATTATAGGAAACATTTCAAAGTTTTAAGCATGGTCTTTGCCCTCGAAGAGAAATGTCTATATTATTAAAAATAAACATATACGATATTAAATTGTTTTATAAGCCCAAAACAATTTAACAATAAGAAATCTCACAAAATAGAATTATTTGAAAAAAGCATAGTACCAACTTTAGGGGTCCTATACATTTAGAGAAAAGATACTATAAGGTTTTTTTTAAAAAGGCTTCATGCAACAGAAGAAATTAACTTGGCGTCTTGACAGCAGGGTAGAATACAGGGGTTGGGAGGAAGAGGGTCTTTCAGGAATCAGGAAGATCAAAGCCTAGTTGAAGTCACTTACTCAGTAGCTATCACAGGCAGATTTGATGTTGCCTGGATTTTTTTTTTTTCACAGTTTAGAAATATACTTTAAAAATGTCATGAGGACATCAGTAGAAGTATATTCTTGTCTATTTTGACATTTACTATCATAAAGACATACAAAGCTATCATACAAAGGTAAACTTATAATTTATGCACTTACAGGGTATACATGGCACCATCAGCAGTTGGGAAATGTGTAAATAAATGTAAAGATGCAGTATTAACTCATAATAGCATAAAATTAGCTATGACACAAAGCGTATCAGTCAATAATTTTGGAACCACTTCCTGCTGCCAGGTGATGAATGCAAGTGTTGTGACATTCTGTTTCACACACCATGTGATGTTAATGTTTCCAGATGAGCATTTGGTCTCTCCAGAGTGAATCAAGGAAATTACAAAGAATCGCCGTATTTATGGCAAAACAGTGCAAAGGGAAGGGTATCAAGATATAAATGTTGAAGATATTCCAGAGCCCAGAACCCACACCACAGGAGTTAGAGGTAGATGACATGAGGGGACAAGTGCTTCCAACACAGCACCAGATGACTAGAAAGGAAACAAGAGACTGGGTATGGTGACTCATGCCTAAAATTCCAGCAATTTGGGAGGCAAAGTACAGCAGACTGCCTTAGTCTAGGGCTTCCAGGCCAGCCTGAGCAACTTGGTGAGACTTGTCTTAACAATGAATCCAATAGTTGGCTGGGCATGATGGCAAACGTTGGTGACACCAGCTACTCAGGAGGCTAAAGGAGAAAGATGGCCTGATACCATCACGTTGAGGCTGCAGTGTCTGTGGATTTTCCACTGTATTCCAGTCCGGGCATCAGAGTCAAAATCCAACCATATTTTCCCATTGGCACCTTTGCAAGGGAGTCTTCTATGCTCTTCTCTGGCAAAAGACCTTCAGTGTAATGAGAAGTCACAGCTGGAAGTTTGGCTAATGTGCAATGTCTCCTCACATCCCAGGGCTCTTTCCTTTGCTCCAGACATGTAATAAGGTCTGGCGTAGAGACAGCAAGTCCTAGAAAAACCAGGTTTCTATGGTTCTCTAACATCACAGTCCTGTACAATATTCGCTGAGGGGAGTCTAGGCATGCCCACTCCTCTGGAGAGAATTCTATGGTCACATCCTTGAATGACAACCCCACCTCCCGCCTTCTGAGGGTCTCAGCGTCTGTCCTACGAATCTCCCAGGACCTGCATGTCACAGGACAACACAGGTTAAAATGAAGATATACAAGGCTGACAGAGGAAACTAAGACCCTGTAAGAGCCTAGAAGCCGTTGCCCGGATTTTTAAAAATGTATATATTTATGGCATACGTGCAAATAAATACACAACCAATCATGGGCTTTGACCAATCAAGGGGTGGCCCCTCCAGACATGACACCAGGCAGACCTTTCTGGGGGGCTATTTATCACATTTGTGCCTGCTCAGAGCTCATTAATCCTAACACACACCATGAACCCCTCTTCTGCTGTATCTGTGCAGGATTGAAACTGTTAGCATTGAAGAAAGCTAAGGAACAAAACCG